TCTAGGTCACGCTTCAACCAAGGTTGCCAAGCTTGGATAGCGTATTCAACATGCGGGCGCACGTAGGAATTGTCCATCATTGGGAAGATTGATGGGTCAACTTTCCCGAATGCCCATCGCAACATGCCAACATGCTGGTTACCTCTTTTCGCAGCTACCTCAGCCTGATTTGAACAGTTGAGGTCGCTCTGTACAATCACACCCAGGTCACATTCCAGGGAGCTATTCTGCAATCCGTTTGTCCCAAGCAAATAGGTGTAGTTATGTCTATGGCGTAATTGTACTACGCGATATTTGTCTATGTTGAATGGTAGGGCGTTTTGAACTGATCAGTTCGACACTGTTAAGATCGCACTGGAGCCGTTAATTGTCGCCCGGTCATCTGATCCTTCGTCATATCTTGATATCATCAGCGAAAAACAGGAAATCGGAAACAATTGATCTCGACAAATCGTTAATGAACACCAAGAATAGACGAGGTCCAAAAACCGACTCTTGTGGTATTCCATACACCACATCGATTGCATCAGACAATGATTCTCGGACTGTCACCATTAGCCGTCGTTCGTGTAGAAAATTGCCAATGCAACTCAGGATTGTGTCGCCAATTCCGTAATTCCGGTGCTTCTGAAGGAGAATTCGACGGTCTAAGCGATCAAACGTTTTTGAGAAGTCCAGGTAGATGACCTCGAATCCTACCCCATCATCAACAGCTTCAGTCCAGCTATTATGTGCGATAAATAGGTTAATATTACGTGAATGCTTCTGACAAAAGCCGTGTTGCTCTGGGGCTATTAAGTTGTGGCTTTCCAGATACTGCATCAGCGCATCTACGATGATTGATTCCATCACATTGGATAGTACTGGAACTAGTGTTATTGGACAGTAGTTGGCAGGATCAGTGCGGTTACCTCCTTAATGCATAGGAGTGATGACCCCTCGCTTCCATACTGGTGGAATACGGTTCTCCTCTAGGCATCGCTGATAGAAAATAGCTAGTGGTGCTGCTAGATCACTAGCTACTGCCTGCAGAGCCTTTGGTCGGATGTTGTCAGCTCCGGGAGAACTGTGGATACGCAAGGATAAAAACTTCTTCAACACAGCTTCCGCAGTGAAGGTGACGTTTTCTAAACCAGATGGTGGAGTAATAAAAATGAGGAGAATGTTTTTGCTCGTTGCATCCTGGGAAGTTTGGGAGTAATGAAGCCGTAGGAGATTAGCTGCTTCCATTGCTGATCGCGTGCACCCTTCAGCCGGGACTAGTGCTGGAACCCCCCGCTTCACCTAGCGAAGGCCGTTAACGTGCCTGTACAGAAGTTTGCGGTTCGTGCAGAATCGCTTCAGTAACTCCTGCTGATCAGTGACCTGGTCTTCGCGGATCAGTTTTACACAGAAGTTACGATGTGTCACGTATGCAGTCCAGTTTTTGGCATTCGAGCAGTCCTGGTCATGTCGCCATTCCAAATCGCTCCGGGACTTACATTTACGTGTTCTGCTCCTCAGAAATGACGTATGCATGTTTTTGAGTTGGATGGACTTCTGCTCAGATGCGTGCGCATCCAGTGTACTAAACGTCCTTGCAAATTTATCCCAGGCAACATCTGGGGCCACTCAGTTAAAAAAGTCCAAGATGTATCCTTAACAAGCTTAGACAACACATTGTAGTGTGTGACAGTATGCACTTTATCATTCTCCTTTTCAGGGTACTCCGCATAGTAAATATAGTCAAAGAGTAGAGTAATATAATCACTACGACCCAGTGGTGTGCTTGTAACTATCCCGCTAACCATGAGTTCTTGGTTAGTGAGCACAAGATCCAGTATCGACGGCTTGTTAGCAGTGCGCAATCTGGTGGGCGAGGTTACGTGGTTGTACAGAGAGTGGCTAGCAATTAGCTCTTGCAAGCAGGCTTTAAACTGCACACCTTCGGTTGCTGGCGTTTCTATGTCATGCACGTTAAAGTCTCCCGCGGTAAGACTTTGAAGACTTTGATTTGACATCCACCTGTTGGTGACTCTACAAGCAAAATCTTGACATTTATCTTCTGCCTCAAATGTGGACAAGTGCCGGTTGTTCACATCCGTCACCGACAAGCCTATATCTAAATGCTTGGGGCGCACCATCTACAGACCACCTTTCAAGAACATGACCCTGCTATATTCGAACAGCATGACCACGGTTGTTCTAGACAGGGCGGGCGCACTTCAAAATGTGGTAACCAGCATATTGATCTTTTGCGGAGGGCGTTCGGCAGTTTAGATTCATCCTTCTCTCTGGTACTCACTCCTTTAGTGAGTCCCCACGTTGAATACGCATTCCAAGCTTAGCATTCTTAACTAAAGCTTGACCTGACAGCACTCGAGACCCCACAATGTCGAGTAACGAAAAGGTCAAGGGCCTACGAAAGCTTCCGTAAAGGTACCGACTGAGGAAAATCGGGGTAATCAGTGGACACTACCAGTGGCTTCCTATTTGCCTCATATTTGTATAGTAGATACTGAGCGACCCAAGTCCCGGATGCCACCACCTGAAACAGTCCGAAGACCAAGGTGAGATGTAACAACTTGAAACTGAGTTAACGACACAATTGTCTAGATTGTTGAGGAAGTTGTCTCCCCCTCCGGGTATGCTAACCCTGGAAAATCCTTGCAAACTCAGGGGTCTGTGCTCCCAACTTGATCACTTTCAGAAAACGCTTAGATACTGTCTTATGCTCCCTATACTTTGTTACTTGAACGGATATTCTGGGATATCTCCTGGATAACTGGCATTTTTGAATTATGAACCGCAGTGTCACACAAATTTCTGCAGGCGGGTGAGTAATCTGCTTTCTATTTAGAACAAACATTAGCCATAACAACTTGTTATTCCGTTTGGCATGGTGCCATCTTACGCCTATAAAAATGCGTACGCTATTATCCTGTCGTTTCAGCGATGCGTTTTTTATTTTGTCCACTTTTTGGTCTTTAAATTTGTTACTCCTTTTCTTTACCAAGCTGCTGGACTTTTCAAGTTTATGCTTTTTAGCCGTCATAAGCCATTTCTCTAGTGTACCGAGGAACATGCCTGGTGCTGAGTTCTAACGCTAGTGCATTTGGCCCAGAGAGACAGATAGAAGCGAAATGCCTACTCTGTAGTCAAATAACCTGAAATCCAACCCGATCAAGGATAAACCTACGGTTTAACAGAATAGTCGAACCATGGGAACTGCCGTACCTGAGTTCATTTTTAAGGAACTGTTGATTTGTTAAATGTGGTCAGACGAAACAGAATGCTCCTACTTAAACGATGTTCCTTAGGGAACCTACGCATGGGACAGTGTCAGTGAAGTCCAGTTGGACACCTCGAAAAACAACTAACTGAATTACAATCGACGTAAGCGAAAGTGAGCGCACTTACCGTTCAGTCAACAAGGAACTTTGCCGCAACCACTTGAAGGTGGCTTTACTCCAGAAAATGTTGCAAAGAAGTCCAATCATTGAAGCAATGACTTATAGTGCCCAGCTACGCCACTTGTATTTGAGTCGGTCACAACAACCCTGAGGTGCTCACGTTCATCCGTGAATGGACGCAGCTGTTCAAACAGAATCCAGGTGTTTAACTTCCGGCAGTTCTTCTGTTCTTTGCTTTAGCTAACTCGCCGAAACAATTATGGAAAGCCCGTTGGTTTTGTTTAATTGAAAGCCACTGAACAGGTTCATTCTGACTCCATTTAGACCCACCCCAGGCGCTGCCAATTAATTATTTCTATGAGCGAAAACCACACCATGGTCCTATTTAGGTAAAATCTAAAGTGATTATCCATACCGATTACAGCTGACTGCCATGGTTGTTATTGTGAGAGGCCTTTTGCGTTCATCGATGTTCTTTCATTTATTCAAATACTACTGTGCTCACTTTACTTCAGACTGAGTAGGGGATAAAGTTTAAAAATATGCTGTGGATTATCGGCTCCTTTTCAGTGTGACATAATTACATATCAAGGAGAAAGAAAAGGTACCAAGGATTGCTTTAGACTGATTGCATTGTTGGCATGTGGTTAAACTTTGCAGACCAGTAGAAATGTATACTTATTTTTTGTGGGAAGGGGAGCGTAATGAAAGATCGTTGGTGTGTGTTGTGCGGTGAGACGATAAGAGGCTTGGAACGTACCTCAGTTTATGGTTCCCTGTCGCACAGTTCACCTGAGTTCGATGTATACAATTGTGCCTAAATGCTTGTGTCATTTTTAGTACGATAAACGCAATACATTGTGTTATGTAATGGAGTCGTTTAGTTGGACTGTAGAGGCATGCTAAGCGTCCAGCTCGGATGCGTCGCACGGCTATAACGAAACGAAGGGTGCAAGAGAGCGAGATAAATTAATGGTAGGAACAGAGAAACTACCACAAGGGAAGCACAAAGGCTAGGTTCATACATCCGTCTTTGCGCACAAGTGCTGCTTACTAGTTAGTGCTGTTATCACTCGTTAGAATGTGAGGGGAAAATAACGCCAGAGATTGGGTCACTTTGTTTATTTACTCAACACTCTATGAAGTTACATCAGATTCAAAGAGCTTCATTCGTAATTCTCTGTTTGATGGATCAGTAGCCCTTATTCATCTGCTTCCACTGTTTGCCACTTGACTGTTCGTGCAGGTCGGTATACCTCTATTGGTAGTCTACTGTTCAGCCGAATACCCCGGAACGCCGTATTTGTGAGGGTGGAATTGCTTCATTAATGTCAAGAATCAACCATCTCATATAATTATGGTAATACTGGAACACAACCATAGAAAGATTTTGCGGTCACTCAGTACTTTAGGCCATAAGGTGGAAAAACGTTTTCAACCATTTCCTGCCATGGAATGTTGCGCCTTCGTGCCCTCTGGCAAATCCCTGCTCCCACATTACTCTTGGGCACGATATTGGCTACTTCAATTAGGTCTCCAGCTAGCATAACAAAGGCATACAAATTCTGACGCTGATGTAGTGTCGGGCGTGTACTACATTTGTGTGTCATGGTAAGGTCTCCAGGCACACGCTATGTGTTACAGGTTCGGAAGACAAAAGCTTTAGGAATCCTGGTCTTGCGCAGTACCACAATACCTGTTTGCGGGCGCTTTGAAGTCACAATGCGCAGTACCTGGATAAATACGATATATATATATATATATATATATATATATATAACCATTACTCCTTCAGGTTTACACTGGATATGGGGTGTGTGGTTGGAGCTGGGGGTGGTGCAGCGCAAGCCACCCATAGTCTCTCTGTAGGCGCAGGCGTCCTGTGGCTGGCCACAGTAGAAAAAAAAAAAGTTATTTTTAGGGGGGGGGGGGGGGGGGGGGGTTGTTTTTTTTTTTTTTTTTGGTTTTTTTTTTTTTTTTGTGGGGGGGGGGGGGGGGGGGGGGGGGGGGGGGGGGGGGGGGGGGGGGGGGGGGGGGGGGGGGGGGGGGGGGGGGGGGGGGGGGGGGGGGGGGGGGGGGGGGGGGGGGGGGGGGGGGGGGGGGGGGGGGGGGGGGGGGGGGGGGGGGGGGGGGGGGTGGGGGGGGGGGGGGGGGGGGGGGGGGGGATGGGGGGGGTGGGGGGGGGGGGGGGGGGGGGGGTGGGGGGGGGGGGGGGGGGGGGGGGTAGGGGGGGGGAGATTAGTAAGTGGGGGTGGGGGTGTGGGTGGAGGGTGGGGGGTGGGTGTTAGGGGGGGGGGAGGTGGGGTGTTTGGAGGGGTGGGGGGAGGTGGGAGGGGGATGGGTTGGGGGGAGGGGGGGGTGGGGTGGGGAGATATTTATAGTGGTAGGGGGGAAGGTTTAGAGAAGGGTTAAAGGGTTTTGATAGAGAGGATGATGTTGGGAAGGTTGATTGTGTTGTTAGTTGGGGATAGTGAATGTATGTGGTTATAGTTGGATGAGGAATATGTTTGTATACCACTGCACGTTCCACCTCCTTTTCCATTCACTACAAAGTATGGAGACAAATGATATTAGTATGGTAGATGGTGCATGAATAATGTTCACCAGCAAAATGCTAGTAAGAGATCAAGTCCCATGTCAACTGCGGGTTGTTGCGTGGTCCTTGAAGGTTAAGTACAATCCTGCAGAAATGATGATTAGCTGAGCTATAGGAGGAGAGCCTTCCAATTCACATATCTGCGAACGGGAACAACTAATATCAGACTACGATAGAATGTGAATATGCTGTCTTTCAATCTTATAGTCCTCTATCTTGTGGTGATACACTTGCTGGTGAACGCTTCAGTTTCTTACTAATTTAGCAGTTCTAGTTGGATTGCAAAGTAAGACAGTCGCGCATAATTTGAGGTTTGTGATCCACGGGTATTTGATAGTGAATGATAGCGATCTTAGGATCGCCGTGCTGAATCCAGTTTTAAAAGCGCCAACGAAGCATGGCACGTTTTATTAATAATTTAGAATGGAAGTCTTGCGTTGGCGTGTTAGTCATCATGCTTGTTGCTTTTCAGCCACTGAGAGTGATATCGTACTTCATGGAGGCGCTCTTTCTGATCTTACCTGTTCTGTTACTGTGTGTGGGATAAGCGTCCGGACATATTACACCACACACACCCTTTTCGGTCTGAATATTGCCATGGCTCGCGTGGGAACGCCTGATCTATCTCATATGATATGTGACCATAAAGGATGGATAATCTAGGTGTTTCACTGAACACTTGGTTGACTTTGATGCTATTGCTTTGCGGTAGCCGTTTTGTATCAGGCCATGTGTTGCCTAGGGGCAATCAAACCTTGTTAATATTCACTGCAATACGCTGTTTCTTACGGACATTTTGGAGGATATCTCGTACATTATGCCCCTGAGGACAGCCTAAGTGAAGTCCCTGCCCACTGTACTTGGTATTTGAGACCAAGAAGTGAATACTGGAGACTGTCCGTGATTAATGACTGACTGTGGACAATGACACAACCAAAATTATCATCGTCTTTCGTCAGCCTCAGAGCTTAGATTCCAATGGGCATTAGGACCAATGATAAGAGATTTGTGGTCTTGGGTTCCTAAACGTTATTGTAAATTAAGGGTCTCTTCACCTACTTACTTATAACTGACGTTAATCCTGTAGCTTACGCATTTTCATTTTCAAAGCTGCAGCAACAGAAGATGGGCGCTTTCAACTTCTAAATTCATACACTATTGATTACTTGATTCGTCGGAATGATAAACAACAATCAAAATGCCCTGCTTTGCAATTTCGTGTTTGTCCCGTGACATCGTCTCTACTGATCATTTATCCCCGTAGCAAATTAGCTATTATAGTCGTGCTGCAGTAAAATGTGTTAAACAAATATACTGGTAGTCAACACTGACAGTGCAGTATCAGGGCTAATAAACGCGTTACGTCTGTCAAGAAATAAACGAATAGACAACGTATACCGAAGTTAATATGTGACTACTAGATATAACGTCCCTTCTCAGTGTATCCCCCATCATACCAGCTATTTATTGCATGCCGTCAAGTATAAAGTGTTGACAGGTCAGATAGTGCAAAGTGCTGTCTGCGAATAGTGTTCAACCAGCCGTAGATGACTTGGTAAATAAGTATGTTTGAAACAATTATATACCTTTGGTAATTTCAATAAAGCCGTCAGAAGACGAACACTGGCAGATGTCAACATTTCGTATTGTCTCTTCAGTGCCAACACAATAATATGAAAATATATACGACGACAGGTAATGTGAGACCGGGACAAGTTAAAACAGGGTGGGCGGCAGGCGTGACACCCCATACGCTCAGGCCAGCCGTAGAATTACGGACAACTATTTTGTGCACACAGAGTGCGGGTTTGATACGGCTGATCGCGACTGCCTCTGCTAAACGTAAGAAACGGTCGTTAGCATATGTTAACACACTTGTAAACATGTTGACCGGATCAAACTGATGACAGGTGACCAGCAAATGCCTACCTATGGATGAAGCAAGTGGCTTACGTGAACTGGTGGTATGAACAACCGACCACTGGGTGGTTTGATGCTGCAATCATTTGGGTACATGTTCCCTTATTCCGGAGTTCAACGTTCCATTGGTACGGCCAATGTAGTGTGTACCACAAATAAAACTAAATTGGTAAATACAATGTGAGTTGGTACCAATAGGTTGTCTTTCCGTCATTGGGGTAAGAGGTATTCGATTAGTCCGGTTGATAAGAATACTTACAGCAGCATAATAAGTCCTCTGGACTTCGGAAGGTAGGTATTTGCTGGTCACCTGTCATCAGTTTGATCCGGTCAAAATGTTTACAATTGTGTTAAGATATGCCAACGCCCGTTTCTTACGTTTCGCAGAGGCAGCCGCGATCAGCCGTATCAAACCCGCACTCTGTGTGCAGAAACAGTTGTTGGTAAGCCTACGGCTGACCTGGGCGTACGGGTGTCACGCTTGCCGCCTACCCTGTTCTAATTTGTTCCGGTCTCACCTTACCTGTCGTCGTATATATTTTCATATTATTGTGTTGGCACTGAAGAGACAATACGAAATGTTGACATCTGCCAGTGTTCGCCTTCTTACGGATTTATTCAAATAAGTATTTCACGATTCACCCTCACTTCGCCCAGCAGAAAGATAAATATATCTCTGACCTTAGTGATGGCGGAGGTGTTTTACAGAGGGCGATTCTCTTGTCTCGCTTCTTTGTACATTAAAAAGCACCTCTTTCTCCCTAACTTTATGCGAGTTAATGAGCAACAGAGGGAGTTGCGTGAGGTCGAGCGTTGTCGCCTCCAAGAACCGCGAAGTGACAACATCTCCGTACTTAAAACTCAGGAGTTGACAAATATTTTCCCCGCCCATCAGGTTGAGAACGACCAAGTTATACTGCGCTATAATTGTATAGCAGCTTAGTGTATTTTAAGCTCAAATGCTGTAATGGTCAATGCATGTTTACCAAGCATTCTTAAATGTAAGAAGACTAGCCTTTACACTGATTGCACTTCAAGTAAAAACAGGTCAAGTATGGGTTTACTACACTCAAGAAGCTTGTATATTCAGCTCCAACGCACATGTAATGGGCAGGGATAAATCAGGAAATACAATAATAAATGGACAAGTAAAACCACAATCGTTACAAAATGTTGACAGGGCTGAGTCTACTGAACTAATTTACCAATCAGTTTTTGAGTGACTGAATGGTTTTCGTTCAAAAAATATTGACAGGCAAAGAATTACTGATGTACTTTAGTTCCTCGTACCAGCGTATGTATATTTTAGCTCAGTTTGGTCGAGGAGGTTGATACGCATTCAGGCAGTGCCCTGTGGAGGCGGTGGCTAACAGGAGTTCATATGGCTCGATCCAATGATGTAAACCATATCCGGCATTTAAATGCCATTAAACCGAGACAGATGTTTCAATGAGATGGAAATTACTTTGAGGTACTTGCTAAGGGGACGAGGGAAGATCAAGGAAGAGCAATAAGTCTAAATGAGGTAGACATGCGGTGATAAAACGCTGGATCAACAAATGTTATACAGAAGACCTGAGACCTGTAATATATAATGCATCGCTTACTTTTAATGAATGTTTTATTTACATGAAGAGACTATGTAGTTTTACTGGTCATTGTCACTGACTAGTATTTTACTGACGTGAAAGCGGTCAACTTTTCACTATAGATGGAAATTTACGAGTACTGCTTTAGTAGTTCCTGGTTGTGATTTCCTTTGAACAGCGAAAGAAGAACATCATTGCATTCTGCGATATTCAACGGTAGGCAACGGGATTCGGACCAATTTTCGAGGTTACCTAGGACTTTTGTATTTTGGTCGACTACTCAGTGCTTGGATGCTGGACGCCGAGGATTGCGTTGTCCGCAAGTTTTAGCAAGATAGCTTCTTAGGGACTGAGATTGAGGTAAAGTGATATTAAGCACATACTAGGTGCAACAGACTAACCTGTGATCCGCTCTGATAGCCCATTATTGATAAACGCCGACACGTTTGACGCCTTCTGACTAATTTCTTTGCTGAAATTTTATGCTTCCTGCAAGACGATTTAGCGAAACTTGCAATTTTGATTAGGCGCTCAAAAGTTCTGTTTTCTTGCACTGCATCTTATCCCAGCTCTCGTCTAGCATAGCTGTATCATTTTAACCTACTCATGAGTAAGGAGGTTTCAATGTAAATAACTTGGACTGCATTGCAATTGCTTCCTAAGCAGATAGTCCTCCACATGCCCGGAACGTCACTGGATAACCGTTTTGAGCAAACAAAGTTGTTGACACAATTTGGTTTTGTCCAACATGTCAAGGCATTCCAGTCGTCAACCGTTTATCTTTGCTCATGAAAAAGTGCGATAGGATGACTGAGATAATCGCTTATTATTTAAATACTAAGATCGATCCCACGGAGGTAAATATGTTCACGATAATACCACACCCAGCCAAACTAAGCTCTGAAACTACACAGAAGAGAAGAGGTAGACGCTCCAACCGCACTGCAGCGTCTGTGACGCCAAATACACTGGGTCACCTCATTCTCATAAGTGGGCAAGCCTTAAACATGCCTGCTTCCACTTCTCCAACCATAGAACCTTCACCGGAAGATTCAGTCATGACACCGACAGCTAAGGAACGAAGGGAATCCGGTGCAGATAACAAGCAGCTAACGTACGCAT